CCAGCCAGCGAGGTCCTCTGCCCACAGGCCACCACAGAGGCTGTGCTGGCTTCTTCTGACAGAGCGGAGGAAGCTTTGTGAACAACGAGGCAGGGCTACCAAAGCCGACTCCGATAGAGATATTTTGCTTTTAAAACTCCCTTGCCCTTCCAACGGTGCAGGTGAAACACTGGAAGCTGCCAAGCAGCACCGGGGGTTTCTGCAGGGATTTGGGGTGGGAAGGTAGGGTGGTTGACAGCCTTGATAACACAGAGCTTTAGCAGCGCCTGTGAATAATTAAACAAAAATGTAATTAAGAGAAGTCACCATGGCCTGCTCTGTATAATGCACAGACTGCTTTTTCTCTTGCTGATCGTTTTCGATTCATCTTTCCATTGAGAGCTGCTCAGGTTGCCAGTAGGGACGGGTGTATATGAGCCGAGAGCCAGGTGAAACCATCATGTGGTGCACCAAGACTCAGCTCAAAAAAGAAAATCTCTTTTTGAGGTTTCAAAACCCAAGTTTCGTTGAGTGCCTTTGAATTGTTTTTTACATTCATTGCTGTTTACATCTTCCCTTGGTTTCAGCTGGACGCACAATCCATTCGCTCTGCAAATACAGAGTGTTGGAAGTACCAGGTGCAGAAGGTGCCTGAGCTCCATCAGAAAAGCCTGCCACCATCACCTTCGTTGATCTCTTCTACAAGCCAAGGGGGTTTTGCAAGTCAGCTCAGCTTCTGAATGCTTTTCTGCCTCTCTCTCACCGCTGCACGCAGCTTTTCCATTTCATGTCTGCTGAGGATCCTTAGAAACTTTTTATTTTCCTCTGAGCAAGAAAAGTTCATAACTTAACCCTCCCCACCCCAGGCACTTGTCCCCAGTAAGGTCCCCAAATGTCTCCTACAGGTTCACGATCGCCTGGACCGCTACTGCTGTGGGTTTCAGCCTGATCCCTCTGAGCCCTGCGTGGAGGAGATGCTCCATGAGAAGTGCCGAAACCCGGCAGAGCTGGTCCTGGTCCACATCCTGGTATGTCCCCCTGCTCCCCAGGGGCTACTCTGGAGCTAAGATGAAGGTGCCTGGGAGGTGCGTGCAGGGCTGAGGCGGCAGCCAAGGGGATGTAGGTCCCATGGTGATGCTGAGTCCTCAGTGGGAGATGTGCCTCAGCACGGAGGGACCTGGGCTTCGGCAGCTGCTGGCCCCTAGATGCTGTCAGAATTTCCCAATGCATTAAAAAAGCAGCCAAAACCCCCAGACTGGTGACTCCCTGCAGTAAGTGGACTTCTCTTTCGCGTCTCGCTGGCAGGTCCGGAGGAGTGCGCCATCTCGCCTGGTGTTCATCGACAACGCGGGCAGACCACAGCACCCCGAGGAGAAGCTCAACTTCAGACTCCTGCAAGGCATAGACAGGTAGGAAGGGCAACGTGCACCCTCCCGGGGACACATCCCGGGCGAGGGCCGAGCTTGCACCAGCAGGATGGACACCAGCCTTACGTGCACACCCTGTGCTACTCCTGGCCACCCTGGCTGGGCACCCCTGTGCACGGGGCCACCTCCCACCCAGGACAGGGCGGATGGGTGGGCTGGCAAACCCGTCGCACCTGCCCCTGCCCTGAAACTAGCTCTCCATCCTGCTCTGGGTGGCTGAGGGCAGTCTCCAAAGCCTATTTTCCCCTTCTAATTGGCAACTGCACAAAAACAAGGAATAATCAGCTATTTCAGCATTTCTTACATCGTTGCCTGTCAGGCATTTCGGCACGCTGGAGGCCCCTTGATCTGGAACTCATTTGGATCTGTTTCTGATGGAGCCATCCTGCACAATCACCGAGGGCAGAATTTTAAGCAGGAGGCTCCTCATCCCACATTCCTCTGGGTGGACACGTTTCTTCTCGAAGCACCAGGGTGGCCTTTGCTGGGGTGCCCTGCTGTTCCCCTCCTCCCTGCTTCGTCTTCTCTGGGTAACCCCTTTCCTCCTTCTCTCTTCTGCTCCCCCGCTGCAGCTTCCCAGCAGCAGCAGTGGCCAGGCTGCAGTCGGGCCAGTTGCAGAGCCTGCTGCTGGAGTCGCTGCGCATGGATCGGGAGCTCTGGGAGAGCCAGGGCGGCTCCGAGGGCCTGAGACCCCTGCTTCAGACCATCGACAGGCGGGCACGCGTCCTGCTGCGGCACATCCAGGAGCACAACCTGACGGTGTTCGAGGACTCACTTGGCTGAACCGATCTCCGGCCAGCACAGCGTGCCTGCCTTGCGAATCCCAGCGGTGATGGATGTGCCTCACAGCCTCGGCATGGGTGATGTGAGACTGTGCGGGTGCTTGGCTCCCCGAAAGGGGTTCCCCCTCTCCTTGTAGGATGCCCTGGAAAAGGAGATGGCATGACAGGGAGGAGGAAGGAGGCAGAGGAGACATCTCCTGAAATAACCTGCAACTGCTTGAGAAAGGCAACATTTATCAAGCCATGGGCTCAGCATGGATTTTCAAAGGAGGGACACATCCATGAGGTTTTTTGGGGTGCCTTCACCCCTCCTCACTCCAGCAACTTTGAAAACTGGAGGCTTGGACTATTGAACAGCCTCTGGGGACACTGGGAAGGGTTAAAGAAGCGGTAAGAAGAACTGCTCAAGGCTGGGGGAAGTCACTGTCAGCCTTTCCGTGGCTTGCACTGGGAACTTTGATGATGCCTTGGCTGTTTCCAAAACACTACAGGTGGAGAGGCTGGAGCAGCCCAGGGGAAGGCAGAGGGGAGCTTTCTAAGTGGATTAAGCAGGGACAAGTCACCCAAGCTGGGTTCTGTCTTCCCCCCCCATGCGGAGGAGGAAATTTGTGCCTTGAGGGGGTGTAAATCACTGCCCGAAGCTCCTGCGACCTTGGGCGAAGCCCTGCGACCTAGGCTGCACCCAAGGTGCGTTCTGAAGGTGGGATTTGAAGGTTTCAGTCTCTGTCTTGCTCTTTTTTTTTCTGTCAGGGGATGAAAAGGCAAACCAACCCCGAGCAAGGCCGCTTGTGAGCAGCGCTCCTGCCTTCTCTCTTACGCATGGCTGCGCAAAACTCTGTCTGAGGTTTGCAGCAAAATCTCTTAACAAAAAGGCCAGGCTATTTCAGCAGAAGGCAGTTGAGTGCAAAAGGCTTTCTGAGCATGCTGGCACCTTCGGCGTTCCTGTCACCTCCTCGGGCTCTTGCCCAGCAGCTCACTGTGATGGGGCACAACAGCATCCCAGACAGGCACGTCCTCAGGTGTCAGGGCTGAGAGAAAATTCAAAAGCAAAATAAACAGGAGGAAAAGAGATACAGGGACGGGCTCTGTCAGAGTCTGTCTTGCTCTCAGCGGCATGTTTCCCATTTGAGGCATGCAATCAGTGTTTGTCTGCCAGGAGCAGCCGGCTCTCAGCCTGCAGGCTGATGGTTTCCCACCAGGAGAAGGCTTTTTAAAGGGGTGTCAGGGTGCATCCCTCCATTTCTCCAGCACTACAGGTGGAGCCTTCATGCTTGAGGCACCCCAAGTCTCTCCTGCCTTTGGAAAGTCTTGGTGAGACCGACGCAGGTGCCCGAGCTGTGCTGCTGTGCGGTTGCCCTAGCTTTGGAGAACACGGCCACCCATGGAGTGGCAGAGGCAGAAAGGGTCTGCTCCAGCCATCTCAGCACCATGTCAGTTACAGAGCCTGTGAGGGGATTCTTGAACACTCATGCTGACAAGCACAAGCAATTACCTTTTTTTCCTTTTTCCTCTTGCTTAAGAGGACAAAGTAAGGCGTGAGCGACAGGAATCAAAAAGCACAAGTGCTCTCAGAAAGCATCGGCACTCGACATCACGGGCACATCAGCATCCAGAGCCCTGGCAGTATCTTCCTGGAGTCCTGCCCTCCGCTTAGCCAGGGAAAGCCTTTCCCCCAGCGCTCGCTTCACGCCGTGAGTTATCACCCTGTTTGCCACGCCATGGAATGGATGACCGTCCGGGAAGCCCCGCTAAAGCCCAAATCATGGGGATTCATTATTGGAAGGTGAGCTTATCCTGGCTCCCGTGAAAAGCCATGCCCAAGCACAGCCTTGTATGAAAAAAGGAGACTAAATGTAAGATAATTAAATTCAGAAAACATGCTGTGAAAAGCTATGTGGTAACAAGAGCATTAGTTAGGAGGTGTAGCATCAGTCATAGTCTTGTTTTTCTCATTAAAATGAGAAATTTCATTAAAAGAGAGGTTTTCATCCCATGTAAGCCAAGTTCTCAGCAAGAAGCAAGAGGAATGTTGGGCACTGCATGGTGGCCAGAAATGTTGACTTTACTGTGCTGAAAACAGCAGCTTTTGCATTGCCTCCAGTTGTGTCTGCTTGACCTTAATGTTGCACGAGGTTTGCTGGCTAAACACGTGTGGGAACATCTGTAAGCAGTTATGCATGTGAATAAAAATTGCTTTTGGTTTAACAGAGAGCCACGTATGGATAAATGAGAAAAGCAAAAGCCATGATCTTGCTGAAACGATCGTTGGTCTCCTCTAATTAGTCATTTTTCCCATGGGCTTATCTATGAAGCCAGCAAAGTGCCTGGGTCACAGCCATTGAGAGAAATCCCATGGACTGCTCTGGCTGTATCAGGCTTTACCACATAATGTCAGGCTCAGTTTGCTCCTGCTATGAATGTGTCATATTTCCTATGATAAACTTATTTTTATGGGTTATAATGTAGTTATAAAAATTCACTCAGTGCTGTGCTTGACAAATGAGATCTCATCTCAGAAGTGATCCTGTTTTAACCAAATTTCACCAGACATCATCACAGATCCTGTTGGAGTGGAGTAACAAAAAAAAGGACATGGTCCAAGCTGTCTGCGGAGCTGGGGCAGGACTGCTTTGGCTTTAAGAAGTCAGCTGCAGCTAAGCAAGGGAAAAAACAGTGGAGAAACAAGTTAAGGCACCTTCCCTCAGCTTACAAGAGCTGAAGTGTGGGTGGCTCCCAGGAGGTCAATTAAATGCAACCCTCATCATACCAAGGATGCCCTTGCTAGCATCACTGGTGACAGGACGGAGGACAGCAGCAGCAAGGAGCCAAGACCATTGGGAAAGTGAAGCCGTCTGCATGTGAGTGCCCTGGGAGCCCAGCAGCACTGGCACAAGCCACCACTTGCTCCACATGTCACCCGAAAAGACCCAGGGCAAAAGCCCAACGCAGCTGTCCTCCGCCTTGTTCTTCCTTTTGTCACTTCAAGAGCTGCTGGAAAAGCCTGTAAGGTTTTCTCCAAGGCACCAGGCAGTGGTCTCACTGGGGCTTCTTGCAGGAGGACATCCCTGCAGCATCCTCAGGCCCACCCTCGGCGCTGCGGGAATGTGCTGCTTGCTGCCTGCGCTCGGGGAATTTGTCAAGAGCGTGGGCATGCACCCTCCCTGGAAACTAAATGCCTTTTTGCTGCATTTAAGGGCCACTTCTTGAACCACCCATTGTAGCCTTAGGACACCAAACAGCCTTCACAGCAGCAGCCCCGTACAGATCTCACAGAGCAGCCTAAGCACCCACTGAAGATGTCCACTGGCCGGGGACGACACAGTGGGGTGGCATTCAGGGGTGGCACTCGGAGACCCCACAAGATGCTCAGGAAAAACTGCCCAAGGGGCTCCATGCCCACGTGGGTGAAGCACAGGCCGACTGCTGCCTGAAAGGCGAGAGCTAGCAAGTAAATCCAAATTTACTGTTAAATCGCTGGATATAAAAATAATCTGGCTTTTAGAAAGCAATTTATTTATGCTTTCAGTGCTCGTTTAAATATTTATGCGGAAAAAAAAAAAGTCTACTCCGATATAGGACTAAGGTTGTAGCAACGGCCTTTAAGATTAATGGAAGTAAATTAGCCTGACGTTTTATTTACATCCAGCAAAGCAATAGATAAACTCTCCTGGTGATGGATTCTCTTCATTAGCTGGGCGAGCACCTAAGGTACAGCTTTTGACTTTGTTTCTTCCAAGCGGTTAGACAAACAGTTTATCAAAAGAGTATAAAATTGTCAGGAAACGAAGCAGATTAATGACCAGTAAAGGGAAGATCGTTGAATTTATGATGTAAGTAGCGGTATCACTGGAGCTTAAGGAATGGCTTATTAGATAACCAACATGTACACGCAGGCAGAAGCGCTGAGTCCCCCCGGATCTGCCGCCCTGGCAGCAGCTGCTCCCCAAGTCATCCCTTCATGGAGAGACTTCGCAGTGAGGTTTCACCTCCCTCCTCCTCCTTCCCTCCCCTTAGGTCTGGGTTTATTCTGTAACTCTCTCGTTAGAGCTTGTGAACATATTATTTCCTCCCAATTAAAAACCTCTTAGACTTGTAACAGCTTCAGGGACAATAACCTCGTCTTCATGTCTGCACAGCAATAACCATTTCCACAACCTAATTTGGTGATTTTGGCTGCTCTTACAGCAGTGATAATCATACCAATAACAACAACAATAATATATAGGACTTCTCTGGTCTTTTGATTCTTTGGAAAAAAAAATCCCCCAGCATTAGTGGTTTATGGATCCCATATGGCTGCTCCAGCAATTACCTCTGGAATGATAATTAGCTGTCAGAGAAGTCAAATGGGGGAAAGAAAACCAGGAGCCTGGGGGAAAGGAAGCCTTCTCTGTGATGGAAGAGGGGCTCTGCCTGTGGATGTCTGAGGTCTCTGATGAGCCCTCAAGCCAGGCACCACTAATGAAGGGATGGAGGTAAAGTTCTTGCTGTGAGACCTTGACAAGGTGGACTTTTTCACCTCCTTTTGGGATGGGAGGCTATAATTTGTGACTCCTGTGCATGGCCAGGCAGAAGAGTCCCCCCCTGCCACAAGCATGCAGCAGGAGCGGCAAGGAGGAGGAACGGCAGAGACGTCAAGTCTTTTCTTTAAATCCTGGAGTTTTCTCAGCAGATGGTCTGTGGAGTTGTTACCTGAGAGGTGTCCAGGCTCAGGGGAGATGCTGGTCACAGCCTGCTGTAATCCAAGAGAGCTCAAGAGGTCTCACTTAGAATTGCTATTTATAGGGTCTGAGATAATTCACTTTTGTCAGGCACTTCTCCATTTCGGCCCAACTCGCATGGTGAAATATTGTTATTTTCTACCAGTTATTCAGGCCAGAACTTGTTCTGGCATCACCCCTTTTGATCACAACTCAGGTACAGATGCACCAGGTCAAGTGATAGGGGAAGCAGGAGCCTGGTACATTAAGGAGGTGCCTTAACGCTCTGGTCTGCCGCCTT